ATATATATATATATATATATATAAAGAGAGAGATATATAATGAACAATGAAAATTGTTAAATATTAAAATTTCAATCACACTGGCTTGTATATGTATATTTTTGTCTTATTTTTTAATTACGTTCTTCGATTAGTTTCAGCCAGCATGACCATCATCAGGAGATAGATAGATAGATAGATAGATAGATAGATAGATAGATAGATAGATAGATAGATATAAGACTGAGATAGATAGTTATATAGGAAAATCAACTGATTCAGAACAGAAATGGAGAAAAAGAGAGAGAGAATGAGTGATAAGAAAAATTATGATAGATATATATTTCATATCATAGTCAAAACGTTATATTCAGTGGTTGATCATGGTTGCGTAGCCATTGTTGATTGTTTCAAGCAGAAAATTTAATCCTAAATTGAAATTCCTAATCAGTTGGATTACATACTTTATAAGATAGCTTTACCATCCAGCCATGGAAAGATATCACTGCGGCGCAAATCTCGATTAACCTTCTTAAATTTCGAAATGTAGGTTGTTAAATATAACGTTTATGATGGTGGATCTGGTTGCTCAAAAATTAGTTTGAACTGATATGAATAAACTTAGATAGATAGATAGATAGATAGATAGATAGATAGATAATACACGGTGTGATAGATAAGAAAATCTTTAGGTTGATAGATAAATAGATAAGAATATATGTGTGTGTATGAGTATAGATAGATACATACATACATAGGAGCAGCTTGAATACATTGTAAACATATATATATATATATATATATATATATATTATAGATTAACTGATTTAAAATATGTTTTTTTTCGCTACACATTTCTAACCATGTTTCAAAATTGAAGCTAAAAGCTTTGAATTTAATTTTGTAATTAAATTAAAGACATTAGTTCCATTTCATCCTCGAGCGAACTTTGGAGTAACTTATTTTTAAAATTACTGGGTTTTAAAAGCACGGCAAAAATTCACGTTTCCAAGGATACAGAGAAATCCATTCATCCAGACAAGAGGTGGTTGCGTGTTCATTATCGCTTTATTGTTGTATCAATTATTGTTGTATCAATTAGTTACGTTTTAGTAGGAGTAGGGATGTATTTTTCAATGAATTCTGACATCCGTTAAATGCATGTCGTCTGGATTTTTTTAAATTTATTGTTAACGGCAAAAATTCTTACGGCATTTTCTTCTATTTGTATACTTAAGGGGGGTAGATTAAAATACGTTTTATTTAACTACGATTTTAAAAATATTTTTACTTTTAATTTTTAATATACTATATTTCTTTTAAAAACAAGTAAATGTATTAGAATTACTTACAGTATGTAAAATTATTTTCACATCAAGTATAAGTATGTATATTTCCAGGTTACAATTCTTTTTAAATTTATATTTAAATATTATTTAAGTAAAATTTATGACAATGACGGCAAAAATAGCTAATTCATTTCTCTGATTTAGTAAACTTTTATTTTTTATATGTTTTATATATTTTATATAAACCTAGTAATATATAGTTTCTCATGTAAGTACAAAGGACATGGGTCATTCAATGGCTTACATATTCTAGCTTTTCATTCGTTTTACTGTAGGTGTTTTATTGGATTCTTTTAAGTGCTTGTAGTACTTTGAGAGAGGTGTTTAGGTTAGTATACGTTTTATTTAACTACAAATTTAAAAGCTGTTTAGGTTAGAATTCGTTTTATCTAACTACAATTTTAAATACAACTTTAATTTTTTTTTACTGTTAATTTTAATAGACTATGTTTCTTTTTAAAATAAGTAAATGTATTAGAATTACTTACAGTATGTAAAATTATTTTTCCATATCAAGTATAAGTATGTATATTACCAGGTCACAACTTTTAAAAAAAAATTATATTTAAATATTATTTAAGTAAAATTTATGACAATTACGGCAAAACAGCTAATTCATTTCTCTGATTTAGCAAACTTTTATTTCTTATAAACTTAGTAATATATAGTTTCTCATGTATGTACAAAGGACATGGGTCATTTAATGGCCTACATCTTCTATATGTTCATATTAATTTCATTTTACTGTAGGTGTTTTATTGGATTCATTTAAGTGCTTGTAGTGCTTTGAGAGAGGTGTTTAGGTTAGAATACGTTTTATTTAACTACAATTTAAAAAAATGTTTAGGTTAGAATTCGTTTTATTTAACTACAATGTTAAATACAATTTTAAAATATTTCCACTGTTACTTTTAATAGACTATATTTTTATTTATTTATAAAACAAGTAAATGTAATAGAATTAATTACAGTATATAAAATCATTTTTTCTCATTAAATGTAAGTATGCATATTACCAGGTCGCACTTTTTAATCTTATTTTTAAATATTATTTAAGGATAATTTTTGACAATGACGGCATAAAATATCTATTTCATTATTTATATTTTATATATTTTTTATAAACTTAGTAATATATAGTTTCTCATGTCTGCACAAAGAACATGGGTTATTTAATGACATACATATTCTAGCTTTTCTTCTTAACTTCCATTTTACTGTAGGTGTTTTATTTGATTCTTTTAGGTGCCAGAAGTACTTCGAGAAAGATGTTTGTTTTTTATATTTATTTATCCTAAATGAACTTTGATGTTGGTTGAATTTTTTTTTTAACTCAGCGCTAGTGCAACCTATATATATTTTTATGTTTTCAGGATTTTAATCGAAGAGATATTGCATTGGTATACTAATGATTTTGTGCGACATTTTATTTTGTAGAGAGCAATTATGAGGGTTTCTACAGTTACATAATTTTGTTTATCCTCATCAGTTTTTATTTTTATTTTTCCATTGTCTAATTTTTTTAGTTTTGGTATAAGTGTTTATTTAAGATATTAACATTATGTTTCTTAATAATTATTTTTAAGTTTTCCGTACAGCTGTAACTCAATTTTAGTGTATTTTTATTGAAAATAGTACTTCACTAGGGAAATGCTTGACTATTAATGCGTGGAATTTTTGTCCTAATTTGTTCTTTACCTTTTGGTTGTATGAGGGCGTATACCAAATTATTTTGAATGCTCTGTAAATTTACATTGAACACTATTTTGTAAAATAAAAATATCTATGAGAACACCCCGGATTTATATATCTTACTGCTCTTCCTTTTTATTTTTTTTATATATATATATATATATATATATATATATATATATATATATATATATATATATATATATATCATCATTTAAAAAAAAATTATAACATAAAATAAATGGATTTTATAAATGGATTTTATAATATATTTATGTTATAATTTTATATTTTATAATATATTTATGTTATAATTTTAAATAAATAATCATATTCGCTCTACTCTGTATTGGGCACTCTTTTAAGAATAGTAATTGGTGATTGGAATGTATATATATATATATATATATATATATATATATATATATATATATATATGTGTGTGTGTGTGTAGAGAGAGAGAGACAGATGAACAGGCAGACAGAGTAAGACGTGCGTAGAATGACAGGCATATAAATAGATAGATAATAAACATGGTGTGATAGATAGATAAGAAAATATTTAGATTGAAAGATTAATAGTTAAGAATATAGATAAATATATTTGTACAGATAGATATATACATACATACATACATACATACATACATACATACATAGGAACAGCTTGACTGAAAGCATATATGTGTATATATATATATATGTGTGTGTGTGTGCGTGTGTATAGAGAGAGACGAGCGTATAATGACAAGCATATAGATAGGTAGATAGATAGATAGATAGATAGATAGATAGATAGTAAATGAACAGTCTCACGTAGAAAAAATAGATAGATAGATAGATAATAAACAGGGTGAGATAGATAAGAAAATATTTAGATAAATAGGTAAATATATAGATAAATATATTTGTATAGATAGATACGTACATACATACATACATAAGAACAGCGTGACAGCAAACATATATGTATATATCTGTGTGTGTGTGTTTGTGTGTGTGTGGAGAGAGAGAGACGAGCGTAGAATGACAAGCAGATAGATAGATAGATAGATAGATAGATAGATAGATAGATAACTGATATTTGTAGCTAGGTAGATAGATATACTTCTATTTCACAAATCTATGTACCTACCTACTTACCGATTCTGCCGATTAATTCCCTCTTTCTTTCTACCTGGCGATCGCCTGCTATTGGTTTGGCTTTGATAAGAAGCGGCTTCGACTTAAACTTACTGCTCAAATGACGATCATGATGAGATGATCCTGGCCGGCGGGGGTTGGGTAGAATAGGATAAAAGTAATCTATATGATAAATACACCACTGCCGTTATGGCTTCAAGCTGAAGAGAATGAAACTTGTATGCAATCAAAAGCAAAGATAGCTAATAGGCATTGAACTGTGGCGAGAGAAATTTCGATTCCTTAGATGCTACAAACCGTTTGAAAATTCATAGGATTGTCTACACATGTAATTAACTTAAATGTCCCTTCCAACATTGAATGTAAATGCCTGGCCTTTGTTGATATGATGTGCGAATGTGCGAGAACAACGTAGTATAAGGGGTGGGTCGATTGCCGTCCTGATTATTACAGTCGCTACACACACAAAAAAATTATAATATGATGACTGTGCTTTCAGGGATAATTCAAATAATACTGGCGTTATAGGCTCTACAATAACTAACCTACGTTATCCAACCTTATATAAAGCTGTTTGGTTTGGTTTGGTTTGGTTTATTTTAAGGCATATCAATCTCAATAATGGCGATTAGATAGGCCCGTATGAATAGATTATGTATTAATATTTTATTTTCAAAAATGTATTGCTACTAATTTTTTAAATGTATTGCTGGTATTTTTTCGAAAATGTATTGCTGTCACTTTTACTATAAAAATCTATATTTTATATTTTCATAGTGTTTCAACCCCGGTTTGGGATTAACTCTTTGCCCATAGCTAGGAAACCAAACAGATGCTACCACCCCAGGCCAGGATGGACCTGGGAACAACAGCAATTACGAGGTTATTCCACGTTCCTCAAAACCTCCTGGTCAGACCCCTTGCTGTCGGGTGTAGTTTATCGTCTTACCCAGGACACCTCATTGTCGGTGGGGGTGATTACTACACTGCAGAGTTTCAGTCGGCGTATTGCGAAGCCCTGGACGACAGAGCGGGCTGCTGCGTTTGAAAAAAGAAAATAGTTTCGATTGGGTACTGGAAATGCCAAAGTACTGTCAATAAATAGAAACAAATAGACCAAAACAACTACTAAGCTCTTATAATTATGGAAATAGAAACGAAAACTAAATATGTACGTTTATGTAAATGTTTAGGACATGTTAACGCAAGCATTTTTTTGTTCTTCTTACTATATACGGGTTGACCAAAAAGGGCCGTTCGGTTTATGTAGTGAATTTTCTACTTAAATAAACGAACGTACTTTTTGCCTAGCCCAGTCCATTATATATAACGGATAGACGTGTCTGTGCAGACATCTTTGTTTTTTGAATAATGTAATTGTCGTCTACTTCCCTGGGCTTTGGTGAGTCTTTAATAAATGTAATGTCCCTGTCGGCAGATTTCTCGAACCAGTGTTCGTATTTGGATGTAAAAACCGATCCTGCTTTTAGACCGTTCAACAAAGAACTTTTACAACCAAACAAGGCTCAAGTTCCCCTTATGAATAAAGTCTAAAATTCCCCTTAGGAAGTCAAGGGTCAAGTTCCTCTTACGTAGAAAAACAGAAGTTCCCCTTATGAAGAAAGCCTCAAGATACCCTTATGAAGTAAAGGCTCAAGTTCCTCTTATGAAGAAAGGATCAAGTTACCCTTATGAAGTAAAGGTTCAAGTTCTACTTATGAAGAAATGCTCAAGTTCTCCTTGGGAAATAATGGCTCAAGTTCCTCTTATGAAGAAAGTCTCAAGTTAACTTTATGATGAAAAGCTCAAATATCTTCATGATTTAAAAGCTCGTTCCTCTTATGAAGAAAAACTCAAGTTCATCTTTTGAAGAAAGGATCAAGTTCTTATGAAGTAAAGGCTCATTCCTCTTATGAAGAAAGGCTCAAGTTACTCTTATGAAGAAAGGTTCAAGTTACACTTACAAAGAAAGGCTCAATTTCTCATTATGAAGTAAAGGCTCAACTTCCTCTTATGGAGAAAGGCTAAAGATCTCTTTACGAAGTAAAGGCTCAAGTTCCTCTTATGAAGAAAGGCTCAAGTTTCTCTTTTGAAGAAAGGCTCAAGTTCCTCTAAGGAAATAAAGGCTAAACATCCTCTCATGAAGAAAGGCTCAAGTTCCCCTTATGAAGTAAAGGCTTAAGTTCCTCTTATGAAGAATGGCTCAAGATCCCCTTATGGAGTAAATGCTCAAGTTCCTCTTATGAAGAAAGGCTCAACTTTTCCTTTATGAAGAAATCACAGCTCTCGTTAATATATTTTGAAATCCATATGCATTAACTTTACCTTCGAATCTGAAACATAAGCAAAATAATTTCCAAGGAATTTTTTTTTTAAATCCGTCATTATTTCTTATTGTTATTAACGTTATATTTAGGGTATACACGTGTTTGTGTAGACGTCCCTGTATTTAAGATATCACGTATATAACAGTACAAAATAATATTGAATTATGAATAAAGAAATTTAGTACACGTAAAAATAAGTCTGCGCGAATGTGTATATTTTATCTGATTACTTTATTCAAAAGTTATCTCATGTTCCGATTCTAGGTATGTGCGTATATTTTTTCGTTTTTCCGTGTGTGTATGTTTTCTTTTTTTTATTTTCAGAAGACAAATTTAATGGCCGTTAGCAAGACGGACAACCCAAAACGCGAGTTTCGAATTGAAAACGTATAACAAAGTATGTACAGATATTTTAAATATCTGGAAAATGTTTTAGCAGAAGATGTGACAAGGAAATGTGAAGGAGCTTTAGATTAGCGAAAGGTACCTTTCAAAAGCTAAACAAAGTATTAAGAAAATTGAAAATTTTGTTAGAAGCAAATAAGAGAGTGATGAAGTGCTATATAATATCAATTCTCCTATATGGCTGTGAGTGCTAGACAATTTCCTCACAGATGAAGAGAATATATTAGATAATAGGGAAGTGTTTTTACAGAAGGAAGCCGCGAATAAGTTTTAAGGAAAATGGGAAAAAGCGTGACGTACTTGGAATTGGGACTTCACACATTTATCCAAGTATACTTTCCAGTTAATAAAACAGTCTGCAAGTACCTCTTTAGGGATTACTATCAGCTGCTGTGGTGCGTTATTCTTAATCATGTCTTGGGCGTTTTAACACCGTTTTTCGTTTTAAGCAAAGAGAGAAGTTACTGGAAATCAAAGCAAAATTTTACTGAGACATAGGCGATGTGATATTTTGGGAAAAATGTTTTTGCTCGGCCATCGTCAAATTAACTGTTGCACAAGGAAAGTTGGTTCTGGAACAACTACATTGAATCAATAGCTTCATCTACCGCAAGGAAAGTTGGTTCTCTGACGTCGCACCAGAAGGTTTTTCTCGCCTGAGTCCATCCTTCAAATCTACAACCCCACCATTCGTCCATGCATTAAATACTGCTGCCATATATGGTCTGGTGCACTCGCTGTTCATATCTAGGTCCCAGACAAAATCCAGAGACGGATATGCAATGTGATGGGCCCTGATCTGGCAGCTCGTCTACAATCACTTTCTCGCAGACGTAATGTGGCTTCCCTCTGTCTTCTCTAAAAATATTTTCATGGCAACTGCTGTGACGAGCTATTTTCACTGGTGCCTCAACTGCATGAATTTAAGCGTGCTACTAGATTGTTATCTCTTTCACAGTCGAAACGGTTAAATGTAAATCTCTTCTACTCCAACACTTCTTATCTCGCACTTCCCGTCAGTGGAACGCCCCTCCTCTTACTTGTTTCCCTGATGGCGATAATCTTCAAATGTAATGTCAATCGATATCTTCTGATGCCTTGATCCTGATCTCCGTACTTCTCTATATCCTGTCCCCAAACACTTACAATCTGTAACCCCTTGCATTCTAGTGGTACTCCCGCCCTGGTTGGGGTGAAATGATTAAAAAAAAATACTTGCGCTCATTCAGTGACACTCCAAAAGGGATTCAGTTTACGAATATACAGTAAAATATTTTTCCCGGGAGGTTGCCAAGTTATATCAACTCCTTACAACCGGATATTCGAAATTGCTGGAAGTGTTCCGGACAGACTTCGTGAATACATTTACGATGATATAGTTATAGATAATCATATAAGACAATTTGAAAAATATCTACTTTGATATGGTTCATTGGAATAAGAATTTCATTTCGACAAAACTTACAATCACGAGACAAAAAGTGGTTTATACGCTTAACGTCAATCACGAATTGTCTCACGAATGTGAATTTCCTTGAAATAAAACTAATTTTGCGATGGCGCTTATTTCTTGACGAAATATATCAAAATAGGATTTCCAAATTGTCTGATATATTTCCTATTCCGTTGGAATATTACCCAAACGTTACACACATAGATATCGATATATATGATTATATATCTGTATAAGTAACACTGTTCTATAACATGAAAGCTTCAAAAATAAAAATAGCCAATCTTATCTAACTGTGTGATTCTGGAAATAAAAATGATATCCACAATTGTTGATTGGCTCTAGATTTTAAGATATGCTATTAGGGTTATGTGAATATTTCATCAAAATTGTTGTCATTGTCAGATTAATTATTATTCTGCTAATAACCTTATTATGTATACTTACTCTCCTAATGGATTAATTATTATTCTCCTTTGCACTCAAATTTTCACACATTTAACTGACCCATGAACGATGATCCTTGAATGTCTGAACAAAGCCGATAACTTCTACTATGTCTATCGTGAAATGACCTTTGCATCTCAATAGCGAAATATAACAACTGTTGTAAGAAAAGTTCACCAATAATATTTTGGATACAAAATTGGAGAGCAAGACAAATTGGAGAGCAAGACAAATTGGAGAGCAAGACAAATTGGAGAGCAAGACAAATAGTAACCATTGTACAAATGCTGTAATACTTATATCATGAAGAAAAAATGGTGCCTTTTGTAGTGGCCATGATTTGGAGAGAGTCAACCGATCATGCCACAGATTGCGATTTCTGCAGTGTCCCGTTAGTTGTTAAGGAACCTGAAAAGAAAAGGAAATTGACAGAGCAATATCCAAGCATTCTATCATCTTTGCATTTTCCCCACATAATGAAGACATACTAGTCGACCGTCCTAGGTAGGACGATAAACTACATTTAACAGCAAGGCCTCAAGAGGTTTTCAGGAACCACCTCTTAATTGCTGGTGTTCCCAGATCAACCCTAACACGGAGTGGCAACACCTGTTAGGGTCTCGATTATTGGCAAATGTTTAACCCCAAAACTGGGGACAAAACACTATGAAAATGTAAAAATAGGTTTTGATACAAGCAATATATTATTGTAAAAAGTTATTATCAGCAATGAATGTTTGAAGGAAAAATTATTACCAGCAATAGAAATCTTGTCGGCATTAAATAACCCATTGAGATTGATATGGCAAAACAAACAAAACCAAACCAGAAATAAAAAATCTTGTCGGCATTAAGTAACCCATTGAGTTTGATATGGCGTAAAACAAACTAAACCAAACCAGCAATAAAAATCTTGTCGGCATTAAATAACCCATTGAGTTTGATATGGCCTAAAATAAACTAAACCAAACCAAGCCAGCAATAAAAAAACAAACTTGTCGGCATTAAATTACTTATTCTTGTTGATATGGCGTAAAACAAACCAACCAAACTATAGCAATCGCAAAAGCACTAGAATCGTTTGAAATTGTGTCAGGTGATGGGGAAGATAATGAAATCTCAAAGCGCCTGAAGTATCGAGAATTCCTATGATAAAAAGCATTGTCTAGCATTTGTCTCTGAATCACATCTCATAATTCTAATTGACCTAAAGAACGTAGTCCGAGATTTGGAACATCCTAAGAACTTTCAGCTACCAGGAAATGTTCTCTTGTGTGTAATCCTAGAATAAATAAATGCTACTTTTTTAGTCATATGTCATTTTGTTCCTACTTTGCGTGAGAAAATTTTGACATCCTCAGTTTTTTTTTCCAATGGTAATAGGGAAATTTCTGAAATATCATTAGCCTTTTCACAAAACCAAAGTTTGAAGGAATTATTAGCCATTTTTCATATTTTCTAGGCTTAAGCAAAAAAACAAAAATTGTGTTACACAGTATTATTGTTACGTTGCTCAGAGAAGAAAGCTAGTAACCTTTCACTAAGGCTTTACTGAACTTAATTCACAGCAGCAATCAACAAAGGAAGAAGAACGCAGCTTTTAAAGAGGAATGAGGACGTGTGAAAAAGTCACGTGGACAGTAAAGATAGTTTCCTATTTGACGTGGACAGTAAAGATAGTTTCCTATTTTCTTTTCTTTTATTTTCTTTACGAAAATATAACAATTATATATATATATATATATATATATATATATATATATATCGGCAACCTTTAAATCAGCTTGTATATTATACTGTGTAACAAAATGTTGACATTTTTTGTCTTTCGTCAATGTTATTTCGTAAATGCGTCTGTCTAAAAAGCAAAGAAAATGACTATTATTCCCTTCAAATGTTAAACTTTTGATCTGGACATCGAGGTTTTGAAACTAAACTATTTTTTCATTACATTACAAACCGATTCAGTGCTGAGTTGCTGAAGGAGAATTTTCTAGAGTTTTCAAGAACATTCAATCAGTTTCTAAAATCTTCAAATATTTACAGAACGTTCTGTCTACCAAGGATCGTATATGAAAAACATAATGGGAGACTATATTTGGGGACTAATTCTTGAAAGTAATTTACAGTATAAGCATAAATCATGAAAAACTACTGACTTCTGAATTTTTTATGGTCTTCAAACCGAGAATAAATAAATGCTACTTTTTTACTCATATGCCATTTTGTTCCTTCTTTGCGTGAGAGAATATTCACATCCTCAGTTTTCCCAATGGGAATAGGGAAATTTCTGAAATATCATTAGCCTTTTCACAAAATCAAAGTTTCAAGGAAATATTACCTATTTCGATGTCCCTTGAAGTCCATACCCTTGACGCCAATCTTGATAAATTCAAGAACATGTGTGTGTACTCACAGGAGCAAGGCGATCGCTTCCACCAGGAAAGTGTTCTCTTGTGTATAACCCTAGAATAAATAAATGCTACTTTTTTTTTAGTCATACGTCATTTTGTTTCTTCTTTGCGTGGGAGAATTTTAACATCCTCAGTTTTCCGAATGGGAATACGGAAATTTCTGAAATAACATTAGCCTTGTCACAAAAGCAAAGTTTGAAGGAAATATCAGCTATTTTTGCATCATTTTTAGGCTTAAGCAATTAGTAAATAAGACTTGCTTCCCAAACTATGATCAGGGATGATCGTTCGGGAGTTTACAAATGACAACCTTCGAAGCGAGGTGTGGTTCCTGAATAACGGCGAATGTATCTATTTCTGAAGAAAGTTTTTCCAGTTGTATTTTGTTCAGTAAACACACATTACCATCTTGATGTGTTTGTGTATTGTTCTAGTATATATATATATATATATATATATATATATATATATATATATATATATATATATATCGCTATTCTAATATATAAAACAGAACATCAATGCAGATTTTAGAGAGCAACATTGTTTTTTTTGGAGACATTGTACACATGTCTAAGCCATAATTGAATCTTTAATTCTAGAACCAATCATTTAATTTGAGGATCATTTACGTATTCAGCATACGAAAATAAATGAGAATTGGCTCATTTTGTTTCTGAAGTAGTCACCTTGTGTATGTAGGCCACTGTAAATAAATATCGCCTTAAAATAATCGTTACAGCATGCATCTTCTTCTGCTTATCATTATTATTCTTTTTCTTCTATGTACCGTGTTCCTTCAGGAAATGGGAGATTATGGCTCTCCACATCTTCATTTTTAATTTTTTCGTTCCCCTCTCCATGGCCTCCATTCACACGAGTTTATTAAGACGGTTACTCTTTGTTTCCGTATTACTTGTTTAATAAGTCTTGTGTGTTTCAATTTTTCCAAGCCTTCTCTCCTCATTATGCATCCTTGAATTTTCAACTGTCTCTCTCTGATTTTAAGTATAAATGAGCTTTTTGTTTGCAATCTCTTCCTCGATAGACATCTAGATAACCGTTACTACAGTTTAGTGTGTTCAGTACATATTAGGTTCGCCATATTTGTAGCCTAACACCAGACTAAACGAAAGTTAGGATATATCTAAAAAATAGTAATATATTAGGATATTACTGTACATAAAGATATCCAACTCAGTGATGTTTAGCCTGGCACTAATATATATAATATATATTTCTCCATCATTGTGGTTGGCAGAGGATAGAAAAAAAACTGTTTATAAAAAAAAAAAAAATTAGAAATATAAAAATTTCTTTGATAATGGTTTCGAAAAGCTTAAAGTGTTCAGTATTAGAAAGTTTCTATTCAAATTTTTACTGGAAAATAGCGTGAAATATAGAAAAAAACAAAGGAAAAATCCTCAGAAAGACCTTTAATCATATAGAACTTATTGAGCATTGAACTATCGACAAAAGATTAGGCTGACCAATAATTAATTTCATTTTTGGGAACCAATTAAATAGGGCATCTATTGTCCTAAGTAATAACCAGAGTAAGCAGTTCAGAATAAATTTGAGGTACACTAATTGTTATGGGGTCCACCCCTTTTTGATACAAGTGGACTCGACCAGAGTGTTACTGAGACTGCTGTCGTTAAATACCCAGAGAGTCAGAATATACAGAGGGAGTGAGAGTGAGCAGAGATTGTGATTGAGTTGGAGGTAGAGTAATAGTGTGAGGTAACCGCTTGTAGAAGTCAGTTACAAGCACATAGACTCTAAGGAAGTCATACTTCGAGACTATATCTATATATATTATTATTACGACTAACCGTGTTCCTGGATTGACTAACAATATACCCATTGTATTATTGTGTAAATACATTTAATTTCTTATCTTTATTTCTAGCGTTTGTCATTCATTGGAGACCGAATTACATCTCGGAATCCACAACACTAATATAGCTTAGATTTTCCTTATCAGTGGCAGCGTACACGGTGGATTAAAGGGAATATCTTCCTCTTCTCCAGGGAAACAATTCTGAAAT